AAATGAGGTAATTGTTTTGCCTCAGAGAGAAAGAAAAGAAATCTAGGCAGGAGTTACCTGAATTCTAATAGCACACACACCAACTGAAACCTCCCAGAAACTCAGACAAGGGGGAGTCAGGCAGGAGCAAATGAGAATAGGGTTCCTAAATTTAAAAAGCAAATAGCAAGAAGGCACTTTTCCCTTTTATGCTCTACAATAGTCACATGCTAAAATTATGCTTATTAAGATAAGAACCCTATTTAAAAAAAATCGACTCACTTGTTTTCTACGCACAGTAAGCCTTTTCTGAAGTTCAGAACCTTCTTGAAAAATGATAGGCAGATTAGAGGCCAAAGCCAAAAGGATTTGAGTCAATATTTGCTCCTGGTGATGGGGTTGAGGCTTTCCTTAAACATGCTGAGTTATTTCTGAAATTTAGCAGATTCTGGTTTCTTTTGGTCCTATGTTCATTGGTTTCAAATAGTGTTTCTTCTGGTACAGTTGTTTATGTGGCCCTAACATATTCGTCCTTCAAACTTTCCTCTATCTGCCACAAAATGTTTAACAGTGATGACTCCTCAGTACCAGGAGTTGTGGACTCTGGGAAAACCGCCACCTTGTCTGTTGAAGTGGAAAATGCAGTATTCTGAGCTTTTATCCTGGCTCTCTGATGTGATTGTATCTGGTATTGATGTAGGGAAGACCCAACTAACGGGACCAGAGCAAAGAAAACTAAAGTTTTTTTCAGCGTGTAACAGGCTCACAGTGGGAGAGTCAAAGAAGGTAGAGAAGTTTTTATATTGTCCTCAATTAACACATACATTTTTAATTTAAGTGCTTTTTATATAAAGTAAAATGCACATATGAATTTTGACAAACATATATACCTATGTTACCAGCACCTCAATCAAAATAGAATGTTTCTGTCAGTTCCATAATTTCCCTCATGCTCCATTCATTTCGGTCTACACTTAGGCAACTACTGTTCTGCTTACTATCACTGTAGATTAGTTTTGTGTGTTCTTAAACACAAATGGAATCATATAGTGTTGCTTTTTTTTTGTCTGGCTATTTTCATTCAACATACTGTTTCTGACATCCATGTTTTTGAATGTATCAGAAATGTATTTTTTATTTTTGTGTACTATTATTTGAATACACCTCTATATATTCATTCTTCTGTTGATGAACATTTGAGTTTTCAGTTTTGGTTATTCTGAATAAAACTTCTATAAGCATTCTTATGCCAACCTATTTGTGGACATTTCTTTTGGGTAAGGAATGTAAGGGTGTGTATGTTTTTATAAGAAACTGCCAAATTGTTTTCTACAGGGGTGGTACCATTTTAAATTCCCACTGACCATGTATAAGAGTTTCTTTCAGTTGCTTCCTGTTTTCACCAACATTTGGTGTTGTTTGGTCTCTTTTAATTTTTAGCAATTCTTACAGGTGGGAAGTTGTATTGCACTGTGGTTTTGTTTTGCATTTTCTTGATAGCTAATGCTATTGAGCGCCTTTTCATGTGTCAACCCTTTTATGTCTTCTAGTCTTTTGTTAGTCTTTCACCCATTATTTTCACTCAATTAATATTTGACTGATGAATGACGGAATTAGTACATGAATGACTTCTGTGATTGTTGACCTTTCTTACATAGATTTCAGCTTCCTTGTATAAACCCAACTGACGCCCCTTCTGCTCCAAGTCATTATGACATCAGTATTCTACCTAAAACACCTAAAAGGAGGGATCAATGAGGGATAAACGTATTTTAGAAAGAGTTTACATTTCACATGCTGAAGCAAAAATGATAAAGCAATTCAGATATTAAACCAAGTATCTAAGATATTTCATTCTAGGTCAAGTCAGTTTAAAGGAGATGATGTTAAATCAATTTGTTTAGTCATAGGGGTTTTTTTCTTCCAGAAATAGACTTCTATCTTGAACTAATGCAAAGAAATAGAAATATCTGTTAACAATTTAAGATGGACACTTACATTTTCACATGATAAATCTGTATTTACCACACTTTTTAGTTTACCATTTATGAGAAAAGTTTTTGAATATATTCTAGGAAATGAAAAACTACCCTATGAATTTTATATGTATTGGTTGGTTAACACTTTCAGAAGTTATAGGAAGTAATAGAGTATATGGACAATAATAGAGTTATATGGACAATTAACTATCACTTCCTGAATGTGAAAAAAGCTATTTATTGTGCATGTATATGCATTGGTGTATCCCTGCATTTTAAGCCCAGAATTGTAATATATACTTGATATGTGGTATCAGTTAACATAAAAGGGAGAAAGTAAAAGTAGTTCCTGTTTTCTTCATGATATTAGGTGAGACACTTGAAATAGCAAACATGTCCACTTTTTGAGCCTACTGGTTCCTATAAGATGTATAAAAAAGATAATTCACAGTATGTTAATCAAGTCTGTCCTCTATGCTTAAGTTTGCCCCTTTGAACACCTGAGTGTTACTGCATTTCGTTCTTTTGTATATTCTCTAACTTTTCTCAAAATATTCCACCAATATTTCCTGCCCTTTTTATAAGTACAAATGGGAGGTCCTTGTATTCAAGATTTATGCTTGCCAATTACAGCAAGTTCTATGACACAGAAGAATAGAAGAGTGAGGGAAGGTGACTTACATTGCCGGATAGGGTTGGTAAATGGCGATCAAAGAAATATGTCAAAGAGAAGGAAACGTCATTTGCAAAGGTAAAGACAGACATATGAGAACACAGCATATTGGGAGAATACAGTATTGTTAGGTAATGTACAGCTTAAGACAAACCAGTGTGTACTGAAGAAGGATAGAGATGAGGATTAGGAATAGCTTGTGTACTGTGTCTAGGAGTTTAGATTTATCCTATGAAATAGTAGTTTTCAAAAGTTCTGAGTCATTCAGGGATTACTAACTCTCTGTACACATTGTCCTCGTCTCCTGTCGCCCGTCTTCTGACAAGCTCTCTCTTTACCTGTTTAATATTTTGCCTTCATTGAGCGAAGGGTTCAGCGTGTAAAAAGTTTGGAAACTGCCACTGAGGTGTTGACATTTGATGTTCTGGCAGCAGCATAGAGAGTAGATGAAAGGGGTAGTAGACAAAAGATAAGGAGATTACTAGGGATGCTATTCAAATAGTTTGGGCAAGAGACCAATGGTATCTGTTTATTAAATAGTACCAGAGAAGTGGGATTGATTGTAGAGCTACTTAAGATGCAGACTTAGGAGGACTTAGTGATGATAAGAATGAGTGACAAAAGTGTTGGGAACAAAGCAAAAATGTAGTTTATAACAGATGATGGGAACCAGAATGACTCCAGATTTTTGAAAAGTTCCAAGTATAGTACTAAGAATTTATTTTCCTCCAGAACTATTTCATAATAAGTTGCCAAGATGATGCACCATCTATTTCCCCCAGAAACTTGACTTTGTATTTTTTGTAAACAAGGACATTTTCCTGCGTAATCTCAACATAACCATTAAAATCAGGATGTTGGCATTAGATTGTCAATCCTCAGACCCCATTCAAGTTTCACCAGTTGTTCAAATAATATCTCGTATAACAAAAAGATTTCATTCAGAACCACGGGTTGCATTTAGTTGTCATGTATCTGGAACAGTTCCTTGATCTGTTCTTTACTTTCATTCCTTTAACACTTTTGAAGATTACAGGCCGGTCATTTTGAACAAGGAGCCTTAATTTGAGTTTGTCTAATGTTTTCTCATCAGCGATTCGTCTTTGGCAGAAATAGCATCACATCTGCGTTATTCTCATTGCTTCCTATTAGGTAAACATAATTTCAGTTTGTCCCATTAGTGACGTTCACTTTCAGCCTCTCTCAATCTTTTCATACTGGGGGAAGGAACACAACGTAATTTTCTGATCTTAACTCCTACATAAAAATTATTATATCTATACCTCATGGTACCTTAGCTTGGTCAGTAAGTTGTAGATAAAATAATTCGTAGATAATTGTCAGTGCTCTTTTGAGTAGAGAATGTTTTTTTTCTGTGGATCTATTTATATTGGCAAATTCATTAGCCTCTTTTTTTGTGTTGTTCCCCTTCCCACAAAGAATATCAGCTATAATATGTTAATAGGGCAGGTAACAGAAACTCTTATTTTTTTTCTTTTCTTACGTTACTACTTTGTCTTTTTAACTTACCCAAATAGGTCTTACCACAAGTTTCTACTATATAAGATCCAAATATTATATAATACATCAACAGTAGTTTCTCCCCAATTTGTAAAACTAAAAACAACATTTTAGCCAACTTATCTTGAGGTAAAATACAGCCTCCTGGTAATTGAGCTTAGCTTACTTTTCTTGAAATTAATCTTTTGTATATTTTCACAAATTTTACAGACTTATGTGAAATGTAATAAATTTCGCAGAACTAGTTTAAGCCAAAATAGGACTTAATTTTTTTTTAATGTAAGCGCAGCAAATTTAATTTAAATAAAGGTTGTAAATTGATTTTAATGTTATTTACAACCTGAAAATTTTATTGACAATGTTGAATAGTAATTCTAAAACCATAAGCCAAAGCAGTGTGAATAGAAATATTGCCTAGAAATATTTTATACAAGACTTTGAAAAACATTTCCTTAACTCAGTGACATGATTAGGCTCAAATGTAGGCCTAGCAATTAGAAGATCATTTTTTTATAGGCTCATATATGCATAAAAATGTTTTTTTTAATCTTAAAAATAAAAGTTATATTTACCTCTTTACTATGAATTTACCTCTTTAATTTATCTCTTTAGTGTAAAAATTGTATTTACCTCCTATGCTGTTATTTGCTTCACAAATACCAATTCAGGGTCAAACATGAGTTAAGTGAGCACATAAAATTTCCCTTTACGACTGAAATGAGAGCATTTCTTGGCTTACTCTTGATTTTCATTGAATAAGAAAAAGATTGTTTTAATGTGTGAGAAGTTAAAAACTGCAGCATAATGTTTGTTTTCCTACAAATAGCAGGATATTCTTTTTTTCACAGAAATCCAGAACTTGTCTGGGGCAGATCAGTAAAACTCATCTTGAATGTATAAGACCGCAGCTCTTCTTCCTTTTTTCTCAAGTCAAATTCTCACAATGAGAAGATTCAAAAGCAGAGTTCACCAGTGATACACTTGTGTTGAAAGGGAAGGAAAATCTGCTCAGTTTTGCTCTGCAGCTTCTCCTGATGTTTTCCAATAAGACTTGAGACTCCTGATATCCTTCTTCACTCAAGCCCAAGCAGCAGAGGACACAATTCAAGATTTCTTTTTGTAACGTGATGTTTTTCAAAAGCGCATTTTCCTTTTAAATCCAAGAAACTTGTTCCTTGACGTCAAAAACATTTTCTTTATACCTTACAGGGACTGAAGAGTAAGTGCTACATTGGCTAGTTTCTGCAGCCATTCTTCACCTTCAAAGTATTCAACAAAATCTAGTCTTATTTTGTCGTAAAAGGATCCCTTTCAGCTCAAATACCCTGTTGAGAACTTTTCCTCTGCTAAGCCACTGGATTTCTTTATGTAGTAGGAGACATTCTTTAAACATTCTGGAGTGAAATGACCTTTGTTTAATGAAGTTAACCATTTTGTAGCGTCTTCCAGAACTTTTTAATTTCGTCCCAAGAGTTTTTGACACCAGAGTACATGGATGCCTTCTGCCTTCTGTGTCAATTCAGGTTCTCAGAGAAACAGATGTCAACACAAGATTTGATGTGCAGGGAGTTCCCCATTCAGAGTTGGCTGTTGGAGCATTCTCAACATGTTCCGTCGTTTGCTGGGAGAAGACTAGAGAAGGCATGGCCAGGTCTGAATGTTGCAGTGGATTCCAAGGTGAGGTAGCTGGGGGCTGTCAAGCAGCTCTGCTCCTCACAGCAGGTTCTGTCGAAAGAATATTGAGCAGGGCTCCACTATGGTCACCATTTGGACTTTTATCCTGCTGTCACCATTCTTACCCTGCTTATGTTCGACACCCCTACCCAAACAGATGTTCTCATTCTGCTCTGCCCTCCTTCCCACACATATATCTAACTTGCTTGGCTCCATATCATGGTTTTAGGACTAAATTGTTGGGGAGGGGGCAATAAGAGAGAGAGGAAGAGCCATCCGGGTTTCTTAAATCTGCAACTGGCTAGAATATGGTTTCATTCAGTGACGTAGAGAAAATAGGTTCTAAGAACAAATTTGTGTCTCAAGAATATGTGTATGTAAACAGGAGTTTGGGTTTAAAAAGAATGAATTGGGGTGACTATGGGACATGTTGGTAAGACTAATAGGCTCAGTAGAGGAGTTGGCTGGAGATAATAAAATTGATTGTCATAGCTTCTGCACTATATTTGAAGCCCTAGGTTTCAAAGAAACTGCAGAGAAGGAAGGAGCGGGCAGTGGAAAACAGCAGTGTTGCCTGAGGGGAGATACCAAGAAAAGGATGACGTCAAGGGAAACTAAGGGACAAGAGAGTTGTAAAGAAGACGAAGTGTTTGTTCAATATTGTAAAAAGCTTATAAAAATGGTAGAAGATCCACTGATGTTTAACACCAGTTTAAAATTTAGTTATAATGGAGTGAATCCAGATCGCAGAGGTAGTAGAGTTGAAAGGGAATGAAATTTGGCCAAACAAAAATATGTATTGTAAGTTAAATAACTTAAAAAATAGGTATTGCCATGTGGACTAAGGAATGATGTTTTGTGTCCTTTCTAGTTAAAGATGCGTATGATTGGTGGAGCATGTGGATTTAAAATTTTCAATTCTGAACCATAAAACTTAAGGAATACTTAACTGTTTGTATGATAATATTCCCCATATCATTCATTTGGTGTTGATTTTGTTAATCTGCGTTACTAAGGATTTGTTCAGCCAATTTTGTAGTTGCTGGAAGATTTTCACCTTGAGTTATATATGATTTTCCGGTGAGCTGCAGTATAGGAGCTGTGGAATTAGAATTATTCAAAAAACTAAGTGCTTTTGAAGCATTAGTCTTTTTAGTCATATATTTGTTTTTTTACAGCCTGTGCTGAAAATAAGAAATTTAGTAAAGAGATAAAAATGATTTTTATGACTTAGAAGATGATTTATAAATAAATGTTGGTCTTACATTTATACCCTATCAATTTCAGAAGTACTACATGTGACTCATTTAGTACAGGCTCCAACTTTAAAAAAATGTGTTTAAAATAATTGATGTTGTATTTGTGGCCTGACTTGAAGTTCTTCTTTAGTGAAGAAAGACCGCTCAGCACATGACTGGCTTTAAAAAGATTTAATAATTATTTACTCACCAAACAAATGTTTTGAGGACCTGAAACATTTTGAGGGCCTGAGCGAAGAATTTTTGTAGGTGCTGAAGATAGCAGTGTGAAAAGGAAAGTCTCTTCCCATATGGAGCATCAATCCTAATGGGAACAGGCAGACGAAACATGAATAAATGGATAGATAGATAGACATTTATACAGCTGGCACTATTCCAGTGCTTTTGTGCAGTGCAGTGGGGAAAAGAGAATGCGATGCAAGGGAATTATTATTTTAAATAGGATGGTTAATGTCAATGATTAGGAGATATTTGAAAGAGTCCTGAAGGAAGTAGTGGGAAGAACCATGCAGATAATTTGGGGTAGAGCGTTTAGGCAGAGGGAGTAGCCAGTGCAAAGGCTCTGAGGTAGCAGCATATTTTCCTCTTTAAGAAAGAACTAGAACAGAAAGAGTGGAGCATAGTGAAAAAGAGAACAGTAGAACGTGAACTCAGAATGATGGGATGTGTGTAAGTCATATAGGATCTAACAGGTAACCATAAAAAGAACAAAAAACTTTTATTCTGAGGAAGATGGGAGGCTTTTGGTGGAATTTGAGTAGCAGGATGATTTGACTTTATCATGTATTCCAGATACTTACTACTAATCAGTTTGACCATAGTAATTAACAAATAAATTGTTAATTTGGAGCATAGAGAACTACAATATGAAGTCAGAGTATTATTTAGTAAGGAAGTATGGCCAGAAGAGGACTCCTGGTGATTAAGGAGGCTCTTTTAGGACTTAGTAAAAATCCTAAACTGCTTGCAGAATATGATTGCAAGCTTTGGGTTATCCTCCCAGTGGTAAGTACAGTGTGGTTTTTTTCCTTGCCATCTACAACTTAAAGCTTAAATGACTATGTAGCTCAAGCCTAATGGATCTTGCCTGTCATATAACTTCCAAAAATGTTAATATTGCAGTCATTGGGAACTTTGGCAATTTAGCAATAAAGCAAGTCACCCCTTGTTTTATTAGTGTAACCAGAATTCCTCAGTCTCCTGTGATTGTAAGCTTTGAGTCTCACAATCTAGTTCACTCTGAGACAGGCTTTCAGAGCTCAGTTCATTTAACATGTGTGCTGTGCCCACTTTGATTCCTGTAAGCATTCTAACGAGCAGTTCGTATGGTTTTAGAGAATCAAAAATCTTTTGAAAAGCAAGGTTTGTGAAGAACTAGTTAAAAAAAAAATAAAATAAAATAAAGCACTGAAATAAGGTCTGAAGTCCACCGAATGAACAAGTAAAATGACCAAAAAGTTACCCTGTATTTTCTGGGACTTGGGGAAAGTCACGGAGTAGTTTTGTTTTATTTAAATAATCTTAATTTTGAATTTTTTGAAGAGCAAAATTATTATATTTCTTTATCTTGGGATGGAGCTGACTGTAGGCGTCTCTTCCTTTAAGTACCCTTAGCTCACGGCCTCTCTGGACTTCACACCACAGTGAAAGACCCACCAAGAATAACACTGTTCTCCTCACTTACAAAAAAACAAGTGAAACCCTACCCCCTTGTCTTCCTCCAGTGATAACTTTATACGAAGTCCAATTTTATTTAATATGGGCCATCTGAATTTTTGATTTATTTTAAAATTTTAGTGTTGAATATTTGTATCAGAGCTTTTAGTTTCTCTAATCATTTATCCTTTGTTAGGTTACCAGAACCATAACAATAGGTGTGGCTTCTGCATTGGTATCTCATAGTAAGTACTGTGTGATTCCTGCATTGCAAACAGTGCTCTGTCTAGAAGATTTAGATAAAGTAGATATAGTCCATCCTAATTATTTGCAGATTCTGTATTTATGAATTCATGACTCACTAAAATTTATTTTTAACACCAAAATCAGTACTTGTGATCCTTTTACAGTCATTTATGGACATGTACACGCACAAAGGGTAAGAAAATTTGAGTTACCTTACACTCATATTCCCAGCTGAGGTCAAACAAGGCAACAATGCCTGCTTGTTTCACCTCTTATACTATATACAAGTGTCCTTTCCCTAGTCTATTTAGTGAAACATTTTTCACTGAAAGATTTTATTTTTTGGTGATTTTACTGTTTAAAATGGCTGAGGTGCTGTCTAGTGTTGTGATTGCCTTATGGAGAACCTGACCTTTGTTCACGCATGAGTTATATGGTGCTGTTGACCGTGAGTTCAGTGTTACCGAATGAGAAATATGTATCAAACAGCATGCCTTTAAGTAGAAACCCACACAGGAAAAGATTATGTATTGATCAATCGGTAAGAATGTTGTGACTAGAGGCTCACAGGACCTTAACCCTGTGATTCTTCTAGGAACAGTGGTTCAGGATCTGTGGCGACTTTATAGAACACAGTTACCATAAATAATGAGAATAGACTGTGTTTAATTAAGGGTGTTGATTTATAGAGACTTTAGGTATCTGAAACATTTTATAATTCTCTCTCTCTCTGAAATCATTGTTTTAGGTCTGTTTAAATACATGCATGAAGAGTTATAGTGTAAAATCTAATTTTACTGTGGGTTCTGGTCAAGTTAAAAGCCATTGATTAACTTTTAAAGAAACATTTCAAAGTATTATCCTTTAGAAAATTAATATGTCTGAAACATACCGAATGTTCAGTAAATATTTGCTTTAGAATAATAATCTTTAAGCATTGTAGTGCTTCTGGTTTTGGAAAAGAAGGCAATATCAATGTTAGAGAATAATATTCTTTTAGGGTTTTGTCATCTGTGGTTATGTAGACTGAGGCACCTATAAGAAAACTCAGTTGAGTGTCCTTTTCTAGTCCTAGCTTTGCTTGAAGCTAGCGGATCTTGAACAATTTACTTAATCTCTTTGAGCCTCGATTGCCTTGTCAGTGAAGTGAGGAACTTTTCAATTTAAAATTTCTGTGGTTTTCTTTTATCATATTATTCCTGAATTTGAATCATTCCCATTCTCGTTATGCCCAATTTTCAAAGAAATCGTACAATTTATTGTCAATATATTAGCCATCAGATTTTATTTTATTGACCTCAGTGCAATCTCAGCAGTTATTGATAAAACATGTTACATATTTGATGTATCTTGACATTATATACTTTTACTGGTAAGAAGAAATAAAAGATCATCCTGGCATTTTACCTTGGGTTTTACTTTTTAGGATTCTGTTTATTGATATTTGTATTTCATATGACACAGTATCTGAAATTATACAAAATTTTTCTCTTAAAAAGTTTAGAATTAGAATTTTAAAAAGCAAAAATATGCATTCTTTTGATAATACATTATTAATTTTTCTATATGGCAATTTCAATTTTTAGATCATGGGTGCTTAATTTTTCTTTTTTAATGTGGGGTTTTGTAAACTATTTTTAAAAAGGTATTTTCTTCCCTTAAAAGTATTTAGTATTTGATTCTGATTTTCTATTAATTATTGGATACATATTTATTATTTTAATTAGGTCATTAGCTTACTTAATATGTTATTATTAGAACTAATTTTTAAGAAATGCTGTTTTTTGTTTAATTTTAAATTTATGAATACCAACAGAAAATGAAAAATTTCCCCTAGTTCCTGTATATTCAATCTCATTTCCATTCCCAAAAGGAGTCAGAAAAATCCAATCCAGTATATATGCTACATGAAATCAGTTTAATACGTCTATCAATTAGATATTTTCAGACTCTTCTAATATTCTGGAATTCCTGTCATTGGCTTTTCTCTGTTATTGTTTATATTAGCTGTGCTTTAAATCTGATTCTTCTCCTTGGATTTACAATTTCAATCAGGTCTATGTATAAGAATCTGTATTATTTGAAAGCTATTTACATGTCACACTGTAAATATGAGTCAGTTAACTTTGCTTAAATTAGGACACTTTTTTTTCTGTTTCCCCCAGTATAACACTAAAATTACACAATGATTTGAATTTTTAATATTCATAATTGGTAACTACTATTCAACTGATGCCCAGTTCTAGTAGTATTTTAGAAATGCCAGTCATAAACTTTCTCTTTTTTGGTAGGCGGGCTGCTATTCTTTATGACTTGTTTTATAACCTTTGTTCTCTCATCTTTTCACTTTGTAAGCTAAACCTGTTTTGATCTTGTAAAAAATATGTTTTAATCTTGTAAAAATATGCCTGTTTAGGTTGGGCACACAAAGGGCAATTTGCTTAGGGTCTGCGTTGTCACAGGCAGTGTCTCTGATTTCATGCTGTTTTATACATAAATATGCAAGTGGAACATGTTCTTGTTAGTATAGTCTTAGGACAGCTAGCCTTAGATACAGTTACTAAAGCAAGATTTTGATTCTTTCTTTGAAGAAAATCTATGTGTAACAGATTTACCTTTATATACATTGAGATGCTACATATACATATTCATTTGTGATTTAGGTCAGTGTTTTTCAAGATCTTAATTTTAACCTGTTTTCCTGTGATGTTTTCAGTTTGTCTTTGACATATACTTCCTAGTAAGATTTTGATGACCTTTATTTTCTGGAGTTTATCTTCTGAAAATAATGGATATATTTAATGTGCTTTTTCTAAGGAGCTTGACCCTCTACCTTTGTTCAAAACTGTTACAGTTATTTATATTTGATGGTTTCATTCTACTTCAAACAGAAATTTTGTATTGTGCTTGCCTGAGATTTAAAGAAGAACCACCTGACTTTTTTTTTTTTTGGCAAGGCAACCCTTGGTTGACCTCACAGATTGCAAGGACCTTGTCAGCTTACAATCCCTTACTTTTTAATTTTTTACGCCCACAGCACCCAGTCTTCCTAGGTGGTCTCCCATCCAAGTACTAACCAGGCCCGACCCTGCTTAGCTTCCAAGATCAGACGGATCAGGCTTGTTCAGGGTGGCATGGCTGTAGAGAACCACTTGACTTTTAAAAGCCACATGTAATAAATATATTGCATCATAGTTTATTGATTACATATGATCATCAAAATCACTTTAACCAAGGAAAGCTCTCTTTCTCCTTAGAGGACTATTTCATACCTCTCTCTTCAAATTTCTAATACTTCTCCCCAAATTACTCGTAGCTGATGACCTTGCTTCCTACTTTAACCACTTAAAAAAAAAAAGAAAAGGAATGAGAACTTCCAAAAACTCCCACAACTATAAAAACCCACCTACTTCCAGCGGTTTCCACATTAAGAAATATGGTAAAACGAAATAAATTAAAAGTACCTATACTATAATACCACTCTACTTTTCCATCTATTAACATAAATGAAGTTCTTCCACTTTCGAATTCTTTCTCATCCCCTTTTAACTACTTAAGGACACCACGTCATCATTTCTTCTCTTTCTTGCTTACATTGTCAACCTTTTGTTTTATATTAAATCATTCTTGTGATTATACAGATATGCCACTAGTTCTCCAATCTTAAAGAATCAAAAATCTTCTCGACCTCATTTTTCCTACCAATACCACTTTTTTGTTCACTTTTGCAGCCAACTTCTAATCTTTCCATGTTGATCATTTCTATTCTCTTTTCCCAGTCTCTTAAATCTCCTTTAATCAGACTTCAACTACAAAAAATTGCTCCTGTTCCTAGTGACATTTCTGTTGCTGTAGCCAATGGTCAGTTCTTTATCTTCATCTTTTATCTATCAGCCATGGTTATCATTATTTGCTTTGTCCTACTGGAGATGCTTTCTTTGTGGGCATCAAGAAAACCACTCATTCTTGGGATTTCTTCGTAGTCATCTTTGCTGGTCCTTCTTTCAGAATGGTGCAGTGCCGCAGGGCTCAATTTTTGGAACTCTTCTCTCTCTACACTTAACATTTCTGATGTAATTAGAATTAAAGACCCTACCCCCACCACAGCTTATTTCTGAGTATAGATTATAGAAAATGAAATATTGCTATTTTAAAACTATTTTTCAGACTTTTTAAACCCCATTTCAAAGGTTGCAGTGAGAACTGTAGACTCTAGGGAATTAATCATCTAGTCGCCAGGGATGGAAAAGTAGATAAGACTGTTTTATCTAAGAACCATTGTGATATAATGTAGTTACTCTTAGGGTATGATAGAAAATGTATATGTATTTCTTATATCCTGCAAATCTAAAAGATATTTTTAAAAGATGAACTTGTGTAATGTGTTGACATTATTTTAATATAACCTTGAATATGTCCATATAGATATCTGCAAAGAATGAAATTTAAGAATAAACATTATGAAAAGATTCTGTCAGATCAAATTTTAGAGCTTACATTAAAAAACATTGAAGTAATTATGCTTGATATATAAAATTTGAGATATAATGTAAAAAATAAATTTAAAACACCTTATAATGCCATTGCCTAAATGAAGTTTATATTTTGGTATATTGTCTTTTAGTCTTTATGCAGTTTAAAAATCATGCTGTGATCGTATAATTTCCTGCATTTCGCTCTTAGCATAGTATAATATAAACATCCATGTTTTTACAATTTTTTTGAATGGAAAATCATGTTTAGGGATTGTATTGTATATATCCTATCTCATGGATTTCTTTGTCATGGACATTTAGGTTTTGATTATTTTTATTTACATTTATTTTTATTTTTTGTTTTCATGGATAAAGCTGCAGTGAGCATCTTCTGCATAATTTTTTTTGTTTGTTTTAGGATTACTTTCTTAGGATAGATTGCCAGAAGTGGAGTTACTGGGTCAGAGGGTATGATCTTATGAACTTTTTTCTCATTAAAAAAAGTGTTGTTGTTGTTGTTTTTTTTGTTTATTTGCTGTCTAGTTGATTTGTATTCCTTGTTAAAGTGAAACTCATAGTAATTCTATGTGGTACTTGTCAGAAAACTGAATCTAAAGGCAAGGTTCTGTGATTAGAGAAGTTTGGGAAATTCCTAGAGTAAAAAAGCCTTTTTAACTTGGTTTACCTCAGCATTTCCTGAACTTAACTGAGCATTAGAAAGTTTTTTTTTTTTTTGTGATACACTGCTTAACATTTGGTGGAAATTTTACAAAAAATATAGTTTGATGAACTGCTAATCTAAAATTTTAAATTGTTTTTATTGGCCGAAGCAACTAAATTAAGCTTCATTCTAAAATTAATTTTTAAAAGGAGATTAAAATAAAGCTGATAACGTAATTTTTGTGTATGTCTTTATAAAGTCTTATAGCTTTTACAGTTTAAACCTTTTATGTTGATTCCTAAAGAACATCTTAATGTCTCAATGTCATCCAATACTTTTTGTAATCTTTAATGAAATTTGGAATATAGACATAAAACATGAAAGTAGAAAATAATGTAGATTGTACAAACCTTTTTGTT